ACAAAAATAGAAGAGTGAGATTTTAGTAAGTTTTCCATGTTGGCCTGATTATTAAAAAACACGCAGAACCTGTTGTTTGATATTCATGAAACAAATTGAATGTTAGCTGGAGAAGTTATTTTGCTAAGCTCAGCTACATATTCGACTTGTTTAATGTTGTCGACGGAGTTAAACACTATTGCTTGGTTCATTTTAGGTAGAACATCGTTAGAGGTTATTTCGGCAAATGTTTGGGTATTCTGTTTAGGTTTTGTAGACGACGAGTTTGAATTGGGCTTGTCGCCCATCGTGAATGTGAATTACTATCTAATTAATGGGCGTGCCTGAGGCGATAATAATAAACATAATATTACCTGTACGGTCGGAATGAAGCGAACTGATAAGGTAACGACTCGATGCGGCGGACGTGGTTATTTGTCAACGTTCAACACGTAACTGAATGGATTATTGTTCAGAATCAAGATATAGAACCCATAGGACTCCGGATGATCAAAAGTTGCCCAGTTAGCACAGTGGTAATTGTTAATAAAATGCCTAAAACAACAGCTCTTCTCGGGATTATTTCACTGTTTCGCATCGAAGCGTTTGACAGCGATATCATTTTCAGATTTTAATGCTTGCCTTGGCCCATTTTACTACATTTTTGCTGTACATACAGGTTTATACTATACCAGGTTTTTTTTGTTGGTTTAAACCCGGTTAGAAAATTGATCAGATCTATGCTAAGAGATAACTACTTCGGAGTCTGTAGTCGTAGAAATCTACTACGGCTATCAAGTTTTACTAAGTTAATATTTGTTCTATACAAGACATTTTTGATAGTTTTTGGATCATAGGAAAATTAAAAATTTTTAAATTTAGCAGTTTTTATAAAACGAAAGTGAACGTTTAAATATACGTTATATTAATTAATAATATTTTGTTTGGATGGAAATTAATATTTATGAGTCAATGAGAATAATCATATTATAAAACCAATTAGAAAACGCAACACGCTGTTCGCAGTCAGTGGAAGTTATGCGTGACTAAGGTTAACCACCTAATTTGTTGTTAAGTTACCTACATCAATTTATTTTGTTTATACTTGAAATATTAACGACTCCCGAAGGCCAAAATACATAAAAGGAATAAATTATAATATAAAACAAAATGCATTGTCAATAAACTATAAAGCGACATAAAAACATGAAATATCAATTAATAGGCACTACGTAATTGTTTAGCAGTTTAATACTATAGTTATAGTTATAGTTTAGGGATTAGGCGATAATTTAGTAATGGTTGTTTGCGACCGGTGTCGACGTACACGAGTATAGACATTTTATACAGATGTGGCAAAATAGCCTACTTTCGAAAGGGTCAAACGTCAATATTTTAGTCAGTAAAAAAAAAAAAAAACGGGATTTTATGAATGATATACAGAAGAAAAAAAAATTTAAGTCATATGTGTGTTCACGGATGGAACGAACTGTGTTTTTGCATAATTATTGCGTCTGGTTTTAGTGACCACCTTCTCCTCCCCGGTTGTTTAAGCCCTGAATACGACCATGCTTCAGAATAATAATGACTATCGATTTCCAACGGGATGGGACTAAGCTACTAAGGGTAGCAAAGTTTTAAACATGAAACGTTGGTCAAACCAAACAAAAATATAATTGATGCAATTAAGTAGATAAATATAAGTATAATATTGATTTTAGTGATTGGTAAATTTTTGTCTCGTGTTCTGAAAAATAGAGGCCCTAGTATGGTGGCTAATACATTTATGATATATGAGCCTATTAGCATTTTTTATTCAACTAACAAATAAATACGATACTAGTTAAGATTTATTCGAATTACTTTTTTATCCAATTAATTATTTTATTTAAATATTTTTTATACGAATAATCGCAATAAAGTTATTTTTAATTTTGTCAACAATTAAATAATTAGCATAAGAAAAAAAAATACTCAAAAAAACTTAATAAATAATTTAATGTTTTTATTTGAATAATAATTATTCGAATCAAAAATTATTTAAATAATATCCAACTCTGGGAAGTCGTAAGATGTAAGAACACAATATTTTTAAATCACATTTCTTAAACATTCCTCGACCATATTATATAGACTTGAAATATTTTGTATAAATAAAATAGAATAAATGTTGTAATAACCTAACCTAGCTCAGTAGTCAAGAGCACACAACCGAAAAAGGAAAAGTAGCACAGTTCGAATCCCAAGTCGTTAGCCAAATTATCATTGGGATTTTTTTAAATTACCTTCATTTCGCATTATAATATAATCCTCTCGGTCAGGCTCAACTCCTTGCATACTCTGTGATTAATAATATTATGGAGAACCTAGCCGGGTAATACAAAATGTAAAATGTCCAAGTTATTACCTACTTTGAAATGAAAGCCTCTATAATCCGCACGTTATTTTATCTACCGACTAAAGGGAGCACATTTTGAGTTATGAAAAAAAAAGATGTAGAAGATAAAAGAGGGATACTAAAAATCATCTTACAGTCTATATATATGCATTAATGTTACATATAATGTATATTAGTATTCTAAGCCGATAAGCTGACACAAGCTCGTTTCAGATCTCCCCTTCGTCTACCGGTCGTCATGCGTTTCAAGAACTCGCTGTACCACTCATCGTTTATGACCTATTTTTATTCGGGTCAAAAACGTTTTACACTGGCCCTTGTCGGCGATGACTCGCTGCCATCACGTCTTGACGCTGTGCTTAGGGATTTATTTATTGTTCAGAATTTAATAGAACAAACAACTATGTATACTTTTCCCAGGATTAACATTTAGCCGCACTGACTAAGCAATGTTTTAAATTCCTTCATAGTAAATTAAGTAAGTTAACCCTTTCTAACCGATTACGACATTCCGTCGAAAATAGATAAATATTATCTCCATACCAATACGTTTTGTTGTCTTTTATACAAATGTAGTTAGTAGTTACATTCATTTGTTCGTAAGAATTCATTATTTACGCTTCACACATTGCTGTTCATTTGATATTCGGAATTTTTTTGGAACGACGATGTTATTTTCACCTATTCCGTTTACAATAACAATATTTTTGATTTAATTAATTACCGAAAAATTGAAATTGCCCTAATTATAAATTTTTATTGCTTCCTAACATAAACGACCTGCTAAGGAAAAGACTAAGACTAAGCGTAAATGGAAGTCTATAATACTGAATGGTTATGAAGATGTTTGAGATAGTTTCTTGAACAAAATTTAAAAATTAATATGAAATGAAATAAGATAAATAATAGTGCCAGAAAAGCTTTGCAGAACTCGCAAAAAAATAAAAATGTTTTTATTACATTCAAGTTTAAACATTTTAGAACAGTATAAAATTCAAAACCAAACTGACCTAAAAAACCTAAACCTAAAAAAAAATTTACTTACTAAATAGCAGAAAATATTTTAAATTGGCATTTAAAAAATGACATTAAAATATTATAATTGGCTTTTTCTTGAAATAATGAATTTGTGGGTCAAGATTTTCTGGCGCTATGCGCCTCAAATAATACATACTAAATAAATACGCTCATAGGATTAGTCAAATTTTAAGTAGTAGCTTTTAATAGTGCTATTACAATACTGTCTAAATACATAAGATCTTGGGACCCGAGGTGATGGGGTACTAATTTTACCATTTAATTATCGAAAGTCACTAGTTAGTGATATAAGAAGAACACAGTGTAATTTTGATTTATGTGATATCGGGAATAGATGTGAGGTACTCATGTTAACACTTTTAAAATTTTAATTATGCATCTGGTTAGCTAATCTGGTGCGAAGCTTTACACAGCTTTAAGTCGATGTCGGATCAAACCTTCCTCAACATATCGATGGTTACACGGCAAATGACCATGGCATAATATTATATTTATAATATCGCATGGCGAAAAATACGCTTCGTCTCCAATGTGCATGCTCAACAAATAGGGTCTAAACGACAATATTTTATATCAATATTAGGTTATTGCTATTTGAAAAAAAAAATGAAATCAACAAAAAAATGTTTTCTCTCCTGAGAAATACGAAAAATGGTTGGACCCTTTTACCGTGTAACCATCGATATTAACTGTGATAGGAATTTTATGTGGAATCAAAATCGAGTAAACCACTCACGTCATCCATGAAAATATACGCGTGTATCAAGTTCTTTTTTTATGGCAAGGGATAAACCACTGCACTATTATTTCCAAACAAACAAGGCAGCTATATGAATTCTTCAAATAATAATATTCGAGTTCTCATCATGAACCCGGATAAAACATACTCAAGATTAGACAAGGGAAAGTAAATAATAAATATTGTCTCTACTAAGAAAAGACAAGTTGCGTCGACATGACACGGCGAAGCGCCTTTGGTAAATAAATATAAACTAAGGACAATGCACGTTTTGTAGACTATACTTTAACCTGTATAATGGAATAATATACTATTCGATTATACGAGTTGAACCATGTGTTATGGGTAATGACTTTTAAATTATTTATTCGTTGGCTGCCGACCACGCGATGCGTTTACTACACAGTAAACATAATATAATATCGACTGGTTTAATGTCAAAAAGAAATTAGCAGCAGTTTAATTATTTGCGTACACTCGCGTAATAAACAATTTAATCGTTTCCGAAAGAGTAGGTTCTACTTCATAAAAATCATCCCATCTGGAATGTCATATTAACAATAATAATAATAATGTGTACATAATGTGTACATAAGCCACGTGCGCGCGTGTAATTAGTTTAGAATGTGTTTATTTAGATATTCCACATTCTTCTGTAATAATTTTTAGTACGAACGTCAACGTATTAATATCATAATAATATTACTTCATAGTTTCAAACCCAATTTTTTTTTATTACGTATTTATATATTTTGTTGTTTGAAAAAAAAAAGTCTTGGCTATTGGACCGTTGGTTATTATTAACAAATAAATAAAAATATAGTTTTGTGCAAAACAAAAACCACGCATGCAACGGCGGTTTTATAAACTATAACAATTTTATTGATTCACAATACATCGTAATAAATTGGGTCTTAATTAAATGATTGAAAACAATTAAAACAAATTTAATATTTACGTACCCATTATCCGCATTAATAAAAAACTAAAAAATTTAAATTTTTTCTAAATTTATAAATACACACACAATAGAACAACAAAGATAAAACATAATAACATTAAAATCGTATTTTGATTCTAAAACAATTTATTTATTAATAGGTAACGTTGTTTTAACGTTTTTGTGTCAACACGTTAAAATAATAATATAAACTTTTGTTTAGGTACGTGTTCTGATGTCGGCGACTATCAATTTAAACTTATCTGTTGCCAACAGATGACTTTAAACTTACCTCGATTTTAAACGCAAATTAATTTCGCTAACAAACTTTCAAAATTGTTCAAATATACTTGATTCTCAATAATTAAGTATTCAGTAAGTAATGAACGCTATTTCATACCAAAGTACGTCTTATCTATAATTAGATAAACATTATTTTTTAAATATTATTATATTATTTTAACCTTAATTGCTCATGAATAAATATAATTTCGGTTGACTTATTTTTTATTGAAAACTCCTATACAATAATTTGATTATTCTTTTAACGAGAAAAATATAATTTATGAAAAAACTATTTAAAAGTCTTTAGGGCGTTCGGTGACCCCCAGATAGTTGTTGAATGGAGAACCCAAGTATAATTTATCACCAACGACTTCAATATCGCAAATACTAGCAATTACACCACTAGTGGAATGCCAACTCGATGTTATAACGCCTTTTTCGTTGATTTTCAGTATTGAAAGTTTTTTCGATGCAAATGGTGAAGATTCAAAATGCCCAACCTAAAAAGGTTTTTTAAATTGTTTACACAAATTTTCTATTGGTTTCTGTATTACGGTCATTAATTATTTAACGGTTTTAATATAAAAAATATATTACTTACCCAGTGAGCGCCTTTTTTACAATAAATATTTGGATAATACGAATCGATTGCCAAAAGAATATAGTCCGCAATTCCAAGTAATTTGGCCACTAACATTCTGACATTTGGATAGTTGGTTATGATTTCCATATATGCTTGTCTTTCCAAAATTAATGGCACATAAAAAGAGCCTTTACCGTCTTTCTTTAGGTTATCTGGTGAACCTGGTAATCCATCGATAAATATTTCACTGGTTTGAGCTTTAGGTCCATTTAGATAATACCTTTCAACAAAATCATATGTTTTATTAATAAATTCAATGTCCTGTACAAAACGGCTGTAAAATATTGTGCGTCATACTTATGGATTTGGTATTTTAAAGTTTCAGCAACTATAATAAATGACTCATCCAGCGATAGCTCCACGCCATTAGCGAATTGAAGATTCTTCATTAAAACTGTATTCTTTTTTGTTTTAGGATCATATTTCAACAATCTATAAAAAAAAACAAAAACGAATAAAAATACATATGATCCGTCCAACTTTAATTGCCTAATTTGAATAAGAACCGAAATTAAATACCAGTCAGGACTTTTTTTACATTGAATATTACGCAAAGAGTTCAGAGTTGAAAATGTCTAAATTAATGTAATTAGTATTTTGTACACCGGAATTAAATGTTTGTGACGAGATATAAATTAACAATATATACAATTAACTACTGTTACTAGTTGTTTCGTTGATGTCATTATTACTGATTTTAGTTATAACGTTAAGATATTATAACTGAAAAACAAAAAGAAGATGATGAACCTTCATTAAAGTTGTTTGTTTTTTACTAACCTTCCAGTACCGTCAACGAATACAGTGTAGAGACCATCGTGTAATTTGTGGTTAGAATCAGAGTCTGTCCAATATACGGAACCATCAGAAGCTACGACAACAGAATTGGGCAAATTCGGTGGTTTACCGTCAATAATATCTGTCATTGATACTAGCTGTTCTTTTTCACCTTAGATTACACACAAATAAATAACATTAGTCTTCCAGTTAACAAAATCAGTAAGGTATTATAATATTTATTATTTTAAAAACAATTATTCGTTAGTCCCACTGTAAAATACATATTATTATTATAATACTCGTAACAGATATTCGATGTATACATGGAATTCCGTTTTAACAAAAACATATTGCAATAATTTTTCTACGTAAGCAATAATTTTACACTTAGTTAAAACGACTCACCCATATGAGTTGAGTTAACGTTGACTTTGAAAAGGCCATAATAAGCATCGGCGACATATATAAATCCTTTTTTATCAAAATACAACCCAAGCGGACGCCCACAAATGTGTTCTTCGTATAATCCATCTGAAATGGATACTCTTGATTATTTTAGTACTTTTAATACTAAATTATACTTAATTTTAAATCTGAATTTGTGATTACGGTATTGGGATACTGTAATACAATTATTCAATTTTAACGTTTGAAAATAAATAATAGTAATCACTAGTCGAAACATTGATATTTTTTAACAATGGAGAAAAACTTGATCACCAGCCTTTAAAAACACGTAAGCACCATAACTTAGTGTTCCAAAAAAAAAAATAATAATAATAAATCTTACGTCTTAGGAAAAAAATAATAACAAGAAATAAAACTTTACCGTGGTATTAAATAGTTATATTAAAAACTATGGCCACAGCGCAATGAAACGCGAGCAGAGGGAGCGAAATGATTATGGCGAGCTTAGCCCACGAAAAGGTTTTTTTATCCGGGCCATCCCTCGAAAACATATTTTGTAATTACGGCGCTGCTTAACTCGTCTATCCGATTTTCACGGTATTATCTCGACGTGTATCGGGGAATGGGAGAGGGGAGGCGGATTACTAGCAGCCGAGCGAAGTTTTTTTTTATAAATAACAGGGACTACGGGCGACAGGGAACTTGTACTTTGTGGTTGAGAAATACCTTATGTAACAACAGGGCCATTTGGCGCATGTCAGCGATGAGCCATGGGTCGTTTGAGAACGGTGGACACAATAATATATATCACAAAAGAGACATTTGTGTACTTTTTTCCAAAACCGTGGGCGCACCGCGGGTCCATTAGTCCGGGAAGGAGACGGATTGATTTTGTGTACACAGTACGTACAATGGAAACGGACGGCTATACAATATAAAAATATATACAGTGGGAAGTTGAGATAAAAAAAATAAATAAATAAAAGTACACCTATACACTCGCTTCGATTGTTAATACGTGTGGTCTGGTTTTTTTTGCCCTATCCCTATTATCTAAACGAGGAGTTACCTCGGGGGAGAGATGCGGCGTCTATGACGCGTTTGGATTCGCCGTTGAATACGACACGGCACGGAGAGCTTTTCGTAGAAACGTCGTGGACGACCGAAGAAAACGTTTCTCGGTAAACCATAACGAGTACCACACCGTCACGGGCCATTAAAAAGAACCCCACGGAATATTTTATTGGGTAAGAGGCGAGATGCTGGTTTTAATTAGAAATACGATATATACGCATAGGTATATGTATAGGTAGTGTATGAATATAATAGCTACGTATACGGTACATCAAACGCACACACAAACAAAATCAACCGTGAGGAAAATTAAATAAACATTAAACACGCCCTTGGAGAATTTCGAGGACCTGCGAAACGCCATCGACGAGGACGACGGCGGCAGATGACGTTCAAAGTAATTATTTTCCACGAGGATTTAAATAATGAGACGGCGTCGAGGCTCATTGTTGCTGCCGCTGTTGTAGAAACCAAGAAACGACGACGACGACGACGTTGATTTCCCGACTTGTGTACGTATTATAATAATATTATTATATACATATGTATATAAATCACACGTCACGCTGCGAGCCATTATGCGAGAAAACCTCGGTGCGGATTTTGTATTATTTTTAGCTGAATCCAATGGCGAGAAAATCGCGTTGACGCACGTTCGACGAGCGCGCTAGGTAAATGCTGACGCGAAAACAAATTAAGCGAAAAACGTATACAGCATGTGCCACGACCGTCGGTTGTTGCCTCCGTTTGTCCGAGTTAAAAAGTCGGCATTTACCCAACAAAAAAAGTCGAATACGTTGAACAATCTTAACGAACTTCCTCCGGTTACTATACTACATAGATAAATTATGGTATCGGGACATTTTTTTAAACGTTTTTCACAATACAGTTTCGATACTGAAAAACTATCGAACTTGGGAACATGTACAAGCATAATAAACCATGTCAAACAAATTCGGAGAATACCGCTATCGACATTAAAATATATCAATGTCAAACAAATTGTACAACACAAGAATATAAACGATTTGGCGAAATCATTCAAAAAGGATCCGTCGTGCATAATGAGATATTTAAAAAAAAAATGTTGAAAAGTTGATTTTTTTTTAAAAAACGTGTTAATTGCAATTGTTTTAAACGTGGTAAGCAGTTTCGGGACACACTGTGTTCGAAACAGGCGTCGATGGTGATAATTTGACAAACGTCGCAGTTCGTTCCGTGCCCGGCATATTGTCTAAATCCGATCACAAACGGATGGGTAAATCAGGCGTTCTTTCCCGGAACCTCTCTATATGTATTATATTCTTTGTAATAATAAAACGCCACGTGTTTGGCGAATCATAAAATCGACATTTTCACCGACGCGACCTAAATGTTTTGACTGTATTTATTATAGTTTTATCGCAATACTGAATACATCAAAGGTAGGTTGTTGCCGGTGTACCGCCAAAAGCGAATTGGTTTTGTTTTATTTTTCGGTCCAAACGATTGTTTCCTTTTTATAAAAAATTTCAACCATTTAGCATATATGAAGCATATTATATAAATATATTTTTGTTATTTTTATTATTATTATTTTTATTTGGCACATATTCACAGAAAACGCATTCCGATTTCGTTTAATTCACTGCGCTGCGCTATATGCTGTGTTGCGTTCGTTTGCCAGTAGGTACATATGTGTACAACATATTTTCCGCCCACACGATAAAATACAATTTTTAAAGGTCCAAACTACAAGCATGGCATGCTGTGACTTGAGGTAGGTTTTAGATCATGTTAAACATCCGTCTTTTCCCCTGTGTTCACGTACCACCAATCCCGTTGGCGCGCCGGGTAATAATTCTTTTGAACAATAAAACCTTTTGTCGGTTTTCTCATTTTTAGAATTCTCAAAACCAGTACAACCGACTAAACACGCACTCTTGTATAAATGTCACGTAAAAATCAAAATAAAAATGTGTGTTTTTGAACGTTTTGATTCCACGTGACCTACTTATTATTTGTTACATTAATATAAAATATATCCTAATAATGCTATAAAAGAAAAACGTCTAAAAATGCATTTTTTTTACATACAAACACATTGATTGTTTTTACACATTTTGGAAAAAATGTATTATCAAAATTATAAATAAGAGTAGGTACACTGTGGCAGTCTATAGGATTACAATAGTCAGAACTCCAAAACTGTTGGATAAATATAAAATGAATTTTGTCTGAATCATTTTAATGAGCTAAAAGGAAAACTCAGCGCAAACACATTTGTAAAACTTAAAAAATATCTTTGAGAAATTTTTTTTTTAATCTGCTTAAATGGTTTATACAATATGAATTTGATGCATTATAATTTATAAATATTATATAATATGTGTTATACACTAGCAGTTTTAACCGAGAATTTATAAATTTATTTTTATTGACTAATTAGTTCTAAATAAAGTCAAATTTAGATAATTTAATTTATTTTGAGAATTCCTAAGCTGCTTATGTATATTACCGTAAAACTTGTGACATTTATTTATTTTAAATTTAATTTTGAGCTAAACATATGATACGCTGATGAAAAAAGTACGAAGATAAAATAATATGCATATTCTCTTATTTATTATAAACTAATTGTTAAAATTGAAATATTATATACATACTAACAATTTATTAAAAAAAATTGTGTGTCCATATAACAACCATATTAAATATTAACTTATAAGTGGTAACTTGAAACTCAATTTGTAAATATTTATAAACTACAAAAAAGGTAAAGGTTCTAATTGGCATAATTCGAAATTTCTTAAATATGGCCAAGTTAACCACATGTCCCAAGTAACTCAGTTTTACCGGTAAATCACTTTTTATTTTATTTCACTTGGGAGCCATTTGGTGTGCTAAAAAATTTCTGGTAGGCTTGTCAGTATTGTTGTCTACGAACTTGTACCAGTTACAGGAAAACTATCTGCATTTGTAAGCAATGATTTCAAAAGTTCAAAAATGTTTTTTAAAAATAACATTAACAGTATTATTACAATAACTACTTAGGTTACATTTTGTTTTTATTCTTGATGATTTTTAATTATCAGTTTACACTGTACCCAAATTAATAGAATAGGGGAATCATATTGAAACTTAGTCGAATCATTTTTGGTAGCTATTATAACAAAAATTAACAATATTTGTTTTATTACACTTTTTATAAATAATTGCTTCTTTTTTTTTTAATTGTTTATTTGGAAAATCATTTGGTCTTCTTTCCATAGCTTCTTAGCCTACTATGCATAATCAATTTTTCCCCAATTGTACTATTAGCAATAATGCAAACACAGAAGTTAAGTTACATAAATATAAATAACTTTCCTTTCTTTTTTATATTTTTTAACTTTTGAGAGAAGGAAATTTTATTTGCATTATCGCTTCATTAGTTATCTAGTTGGCATTTGAGAAATGTCTGATATAAAAACAAAAATAACTCTTTTTTGAGTATTTTTAGTGTTTTTAAACTGATGCATTATAATAATTATAATTTATTCAATACATTAGAAAACCCTATATTGATTACAACATATTAGTAGCCTTGCCAGTTGGTAATATAAATTAAATAGAAAAATCTACAATAGGTACTACCAAAACATACATACCACATAATTTTCCAAATTTCACAACAGGAATGATTTTATCATCAACTATTTTGATTACATGTCCACCATGAATAGATGCATATAAAGCGCCTTCATGATACCAAAGCCCTTCTGGTCCTTTAAGTTCGTTTTCAAAAAGTCTTTTACCACCTGATAACTTTTCATTTAGTGCCAACGGCCCAGTTAATGGTTTAGCAGGTGCATTGCTATTACATCACACAACAAATATAAAATTACAATAATAATAAAAAACAAAACAATTATAACTTGTAGTTATAGTAAGAATAGTATTTAAATGTATTTTGTATACTTTAATTATTTCAACTCCACTACTGTGGTGTTTGTACATAAAAGGTTTATTCTCAGAAAAATGCATTAGAATTTGATAGCTTTTGAACTATTTGAACCTCATATTAAACTAAATATCAAATAATTATTTAATTTATAATAATCAAATTATGATGTTATTTAATTCTACAATTAGCTATATCTATAAGAGTTATAATATTATTAATTGATGTTTTAATCATACACATGTAGTGTTCTTTATTTGATATTAAAAAATAACAGTATCTTATTGAATAAACTCAAAAAACGTTTGCAAGTTGTATAATAATCATCGACTTTTAAAAATGTCTAATTTTGATAATATTTTATCAGTAGCATAGCTACTCATACAGTTTTTAAAGAGGTAAAAACAAATTACAAAATTTTGCATCTTAATGTACCATTTTTAGAACATGTCTTTCTACCCATAAAAATATCAAAAATATCAATGGCTGAAGAATGCTGCCTACTTTACATTTGCAACATGTAAAGCGTAGATTTTTTAAAAACCAATCTAATATCTAGTAACAATGATGAGTTGATGAGAAAAATTACAATAACAAAAAATAATAAGGTAATATAAAACATAAAATAACAAATAATAAAGTGTGTACTTATAATAACATCAGTATAAAACAATTTGAATAAATAGTTTTTAATTATTCTAACTATTCACTATTGTTTTAATAAAAACTTAAAAGCTTTTAGCACTATCTTAAATGTTTTTTATCTGCTCAGGCAAATTAATAGAAAATACCTTCACTACAATTTTTGTAATATTAATGTATAAGTTCTATACAAATATATTGTGAATTGGGCCATTGGCGGGGATCACGGGGGGGGGGGGGGTGATTCTAAAAACCTTTAAACTTAAAAAAAATGTTATATTTATTTTTATTTCAACAAATCTCTTACTAAAAAAAAAGGGTAGGTATTTTAAAAAGCATTAGTTTTATGTTTTAAGGTTTTTGTAAGCCTGATCTCCGCCAATTATTGGACATTGTCCGTATGAATTTCATAAATAAATAAATAAGTCATAACTAATGTGAAATTAATATGTTGAATTCACAAAATAAACTTCTAAACTCTGGAAAGCATTTGCTCTTTCTAAGCGAATTTAAGAGAAATTAAGTATTGACTACAGTTTATAAGGCCTCAATACCTCAATAAAAAATATATTTTCTTTTTTATATATATATTTCCACCAAATAAAAATAAGAAATATTTCCATCGTTGAAATTAATATTGAGTATAAGCAATTGGGTTTTTTATTCTATGAATCTAAAATAACTAGTTAACTCTTGATGTAAAACATATACAACACTCTTTAAGTCGGATTTAGGGTAAATTAGTTTTACATAATTTGAATTAGTTAATTCACATTTTAAATATGCATTATGACTAACTTCCGGTTAAAAAATCATGAATATAACATATAACACTATTATAATCAAATTCTTAGATTATTATATTATACATGAATTTAATATTAGATTGAATTTATTTTGTTTTATTACTTTACACCTACGTTTTTAATACTCAAATATAATCTGCAATGAAAAGCAGGAATTAGATGAATGAGTATTATACAAATTCAGTTTAAATCCGTGCATGTAAACATAGTGTGTTTAACTGAGGTTTTGTTTTCTACCTTAAGATAATTTATGCACAGGCATATTCGGCATTTTTTTTTTTTTTTTTGAGATGGGAATGGATTAATGAGATATTTTTTATGACCAAAGACAATATATTATGTCATTGGAAATTTGAATTTAGGTAAAAGGATTCGATGGTTATAACCTATTCCTTTGAATACGTTCATGAAAACATGAAAGATTGAAAAGTGAAATTTGTCCATTTTTTTAATGTATAGTAAATAAAGTGAGTAAATTAGTTGACTTGTTACTAAGTTACATTTCTGTAACCGATTTTGTAACGTTAAAATATTCATAAAAATGTTGGATTGGCTCCTAAGCTAAAAATTATTTATATATTAATATAAATAAAGGTTACTAAAAGGTCAGGCAATGCAATTTAATATCAATGAAATTGAATACCAAAAATAATTTATGCATCGTTCATTGGAAATAAAAATTAGTCTCAAAATATTTTTGCAAAACTTATACTATAATAAATAATTGTATTTAGTAAAAAACAAGCATTGATAATACATACCTATATTTAGTGAATGTGCTATTGAATGGTGGCAAGGGTACAATAGCCAAGAAGCCTATTAATGCCGCAAAATAGATACCAGTGTTCAAAAAGCATTTTAAACAACCCTAGAAAAAAACGTATAAAAGTATTTCACACATATAAAATTGTTTTAGAAACAAAAACTAGGCATATCTATAAAAATTAATTGTCTGTATTTAATGTTATAATAAGTGTACTACACAATATTTGTATTTAACCTTTATTTTGTTTCTAAAAATTGTAAATATTCTATATAAAAAAAATAAATAAATAACGTGGAAATACTGTTTTTTGTATAGGTAAATCAAATAAACTAAAACGGATAAATTTAACTTTTCAGTATTTGTAGGATATTATCTCAGAGTAAATAAACAAAGTACTCGAGGAATGGAGAGAAGTACTTAAAGTAAGTATACCAACAATAATTTCAATTGTAAAATGCTATAATGTCTACAATGCTGTATACATAACAGAAATGCTATTAGGCTAAGAAATTAAAATGATTATAACAAAAAAAGGTTTAGTGTATCTATAAGGAGTACTAATAAATAAACACCAACGAAGATGAAAAGAGAATAACAACATATTATACTCTCAGTCTGTCGTTAGCGCTAAAAATAACAACATTGTTACTGAAAATATACATATACGCTTAGAGTGTATTATTTTTATGATTAAGGGTTTAAATATTAATTTCTTTACTTATATATTAATCATAAGTTGCTCAAGTTTTTTCTAGAATAACAACAGTTTAAAGTGGTAAACATTTTGTGATGGCGAGTGGTAACGTTCCTCTTTTTAGAAGGCTTGTCTTATTGAAAATGAAAGAAACATGTTTTTGAAGATAATGAAGATCCAATTGGTTTACTTTATGTAGGTTAAAAACCATTTGAGAAGTTAACGTTCTTGTTACATTGCAGATACACGGTGTCAAGAAAGAAAATAGTATATAATATTATATTTTAGTTAAAACTCACCATTTTCTTTGTGCCTATGTTTAATCAATTCTGTTCTAAATAGAGACGCTCAATTTTAACAAACTTAAAAATTAAGAACTGCAAGTTTTACTATCATTTGATGGTAATAAAAAAATGACGTGTGAATAATACCGCAAAACCGGTATTACCGTGTGAGTATCTCCACTGGTCGACGGTCAGGTTGTATTTTTTTTAACGGTGATAATATAGTCATGACCTGCTATAGTAAAAAAATTAGAAGGTAGTTTATAGGTCTTTAGTCCCCACTGACAACTGTCGGTAGATAATTAATGCTTTACTATTCAAATGAATCGAACAGATGTTTGTTAATATTTAATAATAATTACTTAACATTTTAACGAGAGACGAGTGGCGAGAAATACACAGAAGATAATATCACTGATTAGATTAGGGATCAACAGGCAACAGGTACCGAATGCCTAACACCAATCATTAACTGATAGCGTTTAAATTGATAAATGATATCAAATCAAATAATTTAAAATATAATATTTAATAGCCGTAAGTAATCAGTACCCACCTATTAACTACTAAGTTTAAAAAAACTGTATAGTAGACTGTAGACAGTAGTACTGCTAGACGCTAGTTGCTACAATGCGTCATAATTATGTATAAAAAAAACTGAATTTCAATGACTAGTTAAACCATGTCGTTAGGAAATATCGGTGAAATTTAAATGATTTTGACTAACCGACAATATTACTTTCCGTCGTAGGTATAAATTAAATTTGTTGAGTACCTACTCGTTTTCATATAGGTACATAGTTTATAATTAATGCACTCCTACTTATTACCATTTACTAAACGACGAAAACATTCAACCGTTTAGAGACTATGCTACATGATAAAACATTGTTTAGCCACCATTGATTTTCTAGAATGATTAAGTAGCTGGTAGAGAATAAATTAACAGAAAACCGGTGCTCGGTAATAAAAAAACCAAACGTTTCTTTAGTGTTTTAGCGCATAACAATTTTTATCAAGTATATTATGAGTTTAGACATTAAAAAGCCAGTAGAGCGGGATAAGAACATAGGCAGTGAGGACGGAGCGTAATGGAAAGGTCAAAAGTGGGGCACCAAGATTTTTTTAATAGGCAGGGGGTCCAAACATGAAAAATTCGTTCATAGCAGAACTTAATTTCATAACGCAATATTTAAATATAACTTTACCGAAAAAACTTCGTTAATAATTCTAAAAATATAGGTACAATAGTAATAATTATACAAAATTGAAGATTATAAATGAAAAAAGGAGAATACCTACGTATAAAACTCTATTTGGGGTCCTAAATCCTGACAAGTAATGTATAAATTATTTTTCACCTAGTTTCCATAATCTAAGAATACAGATGCAGTCCGCTTATTATTTTAGTAGCAGATTGCAGTATTCAGCGTGGCAGATAACTTTGTACCAAATACAATTTATCAATTATAAAATATTCAGAAAGGACAAAATATTTACAATACAAATTTCAAATCAACATTTTTTTTTTTTCATTTATACGGTCCAGAGAGGATTATCCGGACCCAGAGTCCCATCCCCTTGGTTGTGACTTGTGCCACTGGCAATCAGCATGGTAGTTGCGCTGAGCTAAGTAAACAATAAAAAACATAGCGCTCACGACAGGAGTCAGGACGAGTATTTTTTCCTACTATAGTTCCCACCTAGTGAACTAAATTTTGACTTTTTATATACATATTTATGTGTTGATAACGGTGTTACTTTAATTAGTTCCTACTTATATTATGTCACATATTTTAAGGCTTATGTTAAAACACTAACATTTCTGTTTTTTTTACTTAGCGACTATTTACACTGATAGCTAACGAAGTGTTTTTGTTGAGATTATTATAATTGAAAGTGACGAAGTGGTTTAAAAATCACTTTTAATCAACGTTTCGATGAGCGTCTGTCTTAATATAAACATTTTTATAATCGTGTTTTTAGGTTTCTTGGTTTATTATCGTTAAAAAAAACATTAGCTCTAGTAAGTTGCTGTCAAACAGGGATGGGAACGGGATGTATTTTAAGTACTTTTTAGTATATTGTGTTTTCTGTCTCAAAAAATGAAAGGGCTTATGATTTTTGTATTTTGTAAATGTATATCGATAAAACTATATCTATAAAATGTACCATACAAATTTAAAGCTAATTAGAATAAAAAAAAAAAAAAAATGTGAATTGTAATTTAGGATTGAAAAATATGTAAATCTTTTGGATATTTTTGACGATTTTAAATAGAAAAGGCGGTGATTTATTTAACGTTTGCCCTAATATGTTATTTCCCTTTAAATATTATTTTTATTTACAATTATATTTGTTTTTTCCCTTTAAATTATAATTAATGCAATATGTTGGCATTTTATTATTCTATTTTAACAAGTAACAACATAGGTGTGATAGCATAAATATTAAATACTAAGACCATTAGACATTGGCTAGGAACTTAAAGTGTTTAATGCGCAGATGAATGCAAAATTACATAATCAATGACCAGCGAGGGAAGAGGTCAACCACATCTTTAAAAAAAAATATTTATACTCATGTAAGAATAATTGCAAATAAAACATTTTATAATAGGGTCATGAGTTCACATCATCATGTTAAACTACAATAAGTGTGTACATACAAATAGTATGGTAATAACTTTGTAGCTATTTAATATAAGTATATACTATTTTCTTCATTATAGTTTTTAATTTTTAAATACTACCAAAACTACTATTTAATGATTTAATTTGACATAAAAATATACATTTTTATTATTGAAAGGTATACCAATTTTTAAGTTGATCGTTATTAATTTAGACCTTAACCAGCTATGGCCCAGCAAACTTATCTTACAACACTTCACTGATCCAAAAAAATTTCTTTAAAAGAACCATTAGTTCCCTTTCATCCATTTTTCTTAATACCCCAGTTTCCACGCCATAAGTAATTACTGGACGTAATAGGGTAGTATATAATTGTTTCTTCATTTCTTTCGACAGAAACCTCGGCCCTAGTATTTTTTCGAGCCCATAAAGCCATTTGTTACCTGACAGATTTTTTGATGCTACCTTATCAATCTATTTTTTTTCAATTTATCGAACTCGAGTATTTAATAAATTATTTGGCTCTGGTCTCTGCTAAACTTATAGTTTCCCATTTTTAAGGACACATTTTCACGCGGTCTCGTCTCCACACTCTGCTTTGTTTCATGTACCTGTAGCCCAACATTTTCCTAGGTCTTTCCTTGTGTCCACAAGTACCACATCACCCGCATATTATGCCAACACCACCATGGATGATTTCTGAATTGTCTTTCGCGCTTGAGGTTTCAATGGGTCTTGTTAATTTCTTAAATACTATATTAAATAAAACAAGTCAAAGCCACATTTTATCGATACTGGGTCTGTTTCTAGATTTTCTATTTTAATATTAACTGGTGTTTCCATAATACTTATCTCAATCAGCTTTATTAATTTTCGCGGGAAATTAAATTCCCTCGAAATATTGATCAAACTTATTCTGTGTATACTGTCATACGCTTTCTTGAAATCGATACAAATCCCTTGAATCTTTTTGTCGAACTGCCATGTTTTTTAGAACAGCTGTCTGCGAATAAATATTTGGTCCACCGTCAATCTTCTTGATTGTTCTACAGTCTATACCCAAACAAATTTAGAGCTGATTTAACTGTTTTTAAGGTTAAGTACCTTTGATGAACAACTTCTGATACAGTTACTTTTTATAACATAATAGGAATTCGGTCAGGTGGTTAAAAAGAAAAACAATACTTACAGCTTTGCATCGAAGATAATATGATTATAAATGACTCCACTTAAAATACAAATTATGTAATTGGTAATTACAAAAGGTGTTATTATTTTTATTATGTAAATTGTTATCTTAACTTGTTAATTGTTGCGTAAGTATAGGTATTATATGAAATACAATTTGTTTTAAACCGAAATAGTATTCTATATTTTTAAAAATATCATCACTAATATAAGTTAATATACAAATAAAGTACTTTTTTTTAAAATTTAATTTCAGGGAGCGTTGTGTACCAAGTCGTATTACTTATTAAGTTGATTATTCAAAAATTAACAAATACACAACAATGCATTTTCGAGGTTAAATATGTTGAATAGTTTCGTATCTAGTAAATACAAATATAAATTATACATTAGATGGATGATGCTAACATTGAAGCCATATTTTTGTCTACTAATGGCGCTTTCGCTAAGCAGTGTGTTATATAACACTTCATTCCTCAAAACCTCAATTAACTTATAAATATATTGTTAAAAATGTATTTATTATTAATATTATAACCTGTTAGCGTAGACATTTTGGATAAAATTTTACGAAAAAAAAAAATAAACATTATATTTTATTTTTGTAATTTAATATTTTCTTTAAGTGCCTTAATTTTTAAATAATTTAGCACAATAAGGTAAATATTACATTATAGACATACGTTTGTACACCTATATTGTCAATCATTAAAACTATTATTAATTGATTATTGTTTAAAAAAAATAAAACAAAAAATATATGAAAAATACAACAAATACCATAAGTATACATTCAAATTTCCTGAAAAGCATCTACGATTCTCCCCGGCTTAGGCACTAATCGGACTTCCGCATATAACTAAGAACATATAATTCCTTAGCTAGATGACTTCCTATCCAGTTACGATATTAGACTGTCCGAGCATTGTTTCGGAAATCGAAAAATAAAGTTAATAAAAAAACCAATATTAAATCGATTAGCATTGGACGTTTGTAACCTTAATACACGTGATACGTGACATGGTAAAAAAAGTAAGTCATCCTCCCAAGAAATCCCAACAAGACTATAATATGTGTTTTAGAAACCTAAGCCATATTGGATCGGTCGCAATAATAAGTACATGATCAAATCCAGGAACTTAATTTTACGCTATTAAGAAAACCAAAAAATATATATAACTCTTACCATTAGTGATTAGTCTATAGAACATAACATGTATAATTAACTTTTTTTTTAATAACACTTTAAAAATAATTTAAGTTTCGTTAAATTATTTTTGTTTTAAGTTGTCTTGTAGGTAATTTCAGGATTACTTTTTGTTCCACAAATAGTTTTATTCCATGAGACATATGTTTCAAAGATACTATTATCCAAGATTATGGCTTGTTCCAACCACGTTTTTTCCGCTAAACAGTTATGCCAACGGACGTTTTGTCCAAATTGTAATTGTTCCAATATACATTTAGCCCAAGATCATTTATTTCCAAATGAGTTGGTTTCACAATGCATTTGTTCCAACAAACAATTCATGCTAAAATATTTTGGTACAAAATGTTAAAT